CCTAGGGAAACAAACAGAAATCCCAAGGAACAAATGAACAAATAGGTTAACATACTACGAAACAACACATCAAACAAAGACGGAAGAAATGCAAAAAAGTGAGAGGTGCATTGTTGTATTTCTACATTCACGGAGTCAGCATCATCAGTATGAAACTAGCGCATACACCCAACATATTTCCACCGCGCAGTGGTGTGAAAGGGTTAGAGCTTAGGGTTTAGAGTTTACCTGTATAGAGCGCCTTTCAGTCCACACTTTCGGACCCCCATGCTTGAGGAAGTGGTTCGGCCCAGAGCTGTCTCTGTGCAGCTGCAGCAGCTCCTCGAGCTGCCGTGGCTGCAGATTCGCTAAAGGGGTTTCAGATCGGGCCCCAGACCTAAACACAAATGTCGCCTGCGGCTGGGCATATTTGTCTTGCTGCAGAAGCACCTCCACCTGCAGCACAAGCAGCAGCAACAGCAGCAGCAGCAACGCCGCCATTACCCCCGGAATGTTCTACCTGCATCATGCGAACGCACTGCTCGTAGCGGTTGGCAAAGTTGCCGAGTTATTCATGTTTCTAGGGTTTAGACGTTTGAATACACATAATACTCATATATACACGAATGCTTCATGCGCCCGTAGGCGCAGGAAGGTCCGTAGATACACCTCAACGCCAGTGACCTCCAGGAACTACCTGAAGGCTCCACCTAGGACGAAATATGCGGTGGAAGTGAAGGGCCACGCACCTGAGGGTTCCGCTGTTCCCAACTGGGTAGCAAGTGCTTCAGGTAGAAACGAACGCCACTGCTGCTATAGCCGGTCTCGCTATAGCGCAGGAGAACCTGCTGCAGCTGCCAGACGCCTCTTTCACACATGTTGCTGCTGCTGCTTTGCTCAAGAGAGGCTACTGTTCAGGTTCGCACACTTGCCCTCCTCCCCTCCATCCCCATGGGGTGGAGTTTTTGTATGTGTTTGCGCCTCGATGATTCTCTAACACGTTTCTATTCTTCTGTCTCTACGCGTCTGGCTTTATCGCCTGTGTCTCTTCGTCTGTTTGTCCGTCTTCGTCGATTATTTCCCAGCTGCCGCCAGGGCCAGTTGTACTGGTCCAGACGCTATTAGCTG